TAAACAGGTGTGGCACTAAACAGGTGTGGTACTAAACAGGTGTGGTAAAAGAGGTTCTGTAATAAACAGGTATGTTATTAAACAGGTAAATTTAACAGGTGTTGTAAGAAATAGGGATGCACCAATCTACATTTTTTTAATTCCGATGCTGATACCTAAATCTGGATATAGGCTGATACGATACTATTCCGATATAATCATCAATATTGATTTTATATGAGGCTGCAATAATCTCCTCTCAAGTACACGTACAAATATATGAATGTCCAAACAGGCAACTTAAGGTAAGTTTTATTAATGTTGGATACGTTTTAAAGTTAGAATTAAATCCTGCTAACACAAAACATGCTTTTTATTCCTAGCTTTAACGTCAGAGTCTTACTGTCATTCACACCACATGTGGTACATGTGGTGGAACAAGATTATGTTCACAGGGTCCCAGTTGCATCCCACAATAAAATGTAAAAGAAAAACAGCAACAAGATGTAAGATATGAAAAACATGAAAACATATACACTAAGTACTAATAGTATCAAAACAATACGCTGAAGTGGATATTAAAGTGATTAAATGGCTTCAAACAGCTGCTAAGTTTGTGGCAAAAACCAACACAGACATGTTCCTGTTTTTAGTATTTTACATCGTTTTATAATGGAGCAGTTTTGTTTCTTTTTTTATTTTTCATCTCATATGTTTTTTTATGATTGTCTACTGTTGTACTGATAAATCTCTCCTGGAGGGTAAACGTAAACTACATCTTGGCTGTAAATGTTCAGCTGCTCCTCCAGACGGACAGACTGAACCCAGACTGGCTGCTTCGGACTGAACGAGAGGAACGCACCGCTGAAGCCACGGAGCTCCAGCGTCCAGCGTAAAACTAACTTCACCGCGGTGCCTGGCTAAACAATCCTCGAGCTCTTTAATGTGGCGCTTTTGTACCGTTTATTAAGGTCAGTGTAGGGCCGGGCCATACGGCTCAAATATAATATCGTGATATTTCACAGCATTCTGACGAGAACAATCAATTTTGCGATATAAAAAAACCCCCAGAAATCATAGTTATTTATTTGACAAAATTAACTTAACATGTTGTTTTGCAGTATTACATAAAATAAAAAAGGGTTAATTTGACTGAAATTACTTTATTTAGTATTCAGTCTCCAAGTACAAAAATAAAAATGATCCTTTTGTTATTTAGACTGAAAAACTCAGCACAAAATATAGATCAATAAATCCACCACAAAAACTAAAGTGCAGGTGCAGTTTCCCAAAATAACTTAATAAAATGAAGCTTAAGATCTTAATCTTAAGATCTGTTGATCATAAATGTAACAAAATATATGTTTCTTTAAATGAGCTGTAACTTCCAGAAGTTGTAACAAGGTGATCATGTGACCCTGAAGCGGTTGGTGTTTCATCTGTTCCTGCAGGAATCATTCATTTCTCCGATCACACGACTCCGATCACACGACTCCGATCACCTGACTCCGATCACCTGACTCGGATCACATGACTCGGATCACCTGACTCCGATCACCTGACTCGGATCACCTGACTCGGATCACCTGACTCCGATCACATGACTCCGATCACCTGACTCCGATCACACGACTCAGATCACACGACTCAGATCACACGACTCCGATCACCTGACTCCGATCACCTGACTCCGATCACCTGACTCCGATCACCTGACTCCGATCACCTGACTCCGATCACCTGACTCTGATCACCTGACTCTGATCTTGCTCCATGGACTGTGGAACTGAGAGACCGTTGAGCTGCGTGTCTGTACCTGCAGGTTAGAGCTGGATGGAGGGACAGCTGAGCTGAGCGCTGTTTGTTTTTAGCTAGCTAGTATTACACGCAGCTAATTAGCGTCACACTAGTACAAACAGGTGGAGGGGGGGGTGCGCAATTTGGTGTAGTTGTTCGGCTCGCTCGGTTCTGTTAAGGGGGCGGGGCGCCCTGACGTATTACGTCATGAAATTATCATATCTTTTTTTGCCCAGGCAAGCTTTTTTTACCGGTATTATTGTGAACGATACGATGCGGCCCAGCACTAGTTCAATGTATTGTAGGTCGCGACCGAGCTTCCTCCTCTCAATACAGCAGCTCTGCAGACATTTCACGTTGTGCGGTGTTTAGTGTAAAATACTTCCACACAGCGAACGTGTTACGATGAAAAGTTGGTTAGCTGTTAGCAGCAGTGCTGCTCAGCCGTCGGTATTTACTGACATTATAGCTGCTGCGAACTATGAACTGGATTTCCTGACTGTGAGGCGGGTCTTGTTACTCTGGGTTCATGAGACACGGCTCCGTTCAGGAAATCCATTCCATAGTTTGAAGCCAACCTGCAGAGCAGCCGGCAGGGTTTCAGAAGACACAGACATGCATCATGGACGGGAAATCTCTGCAGGTTGGATCGGAAAAACATGATCGGTACATTAAGCTGGTATCGGAGGCCGATACAGATACTGGATCAGATTGGTACCATCCCTAGATAAACAGGTGCTTTATTAAACAGGTGTCACAATAAAAAGGTATGTTTTTAAACAGGTTCTGTATTAACCAGGTGTAGCAGTGGACAGGTGCTGTACCTCCAGGTATCTGATGACAGACGGGTTGTAGTCTATGGTCTTGCGGTTCACGGCCTTCCTCATGCGCTTCCCGTCGAAGGTGAGCTGCTGCATGGCCTGCTGCTGAGCCATGTCCGGCCGTTTGTAGAAAACCTGACGAGGCGCCTGGTGCTGGAAACGCGGCATGTGGAAGAACCGCTGTGGCGAGCCCACGTCTGTTGCCATGGTGACCAGGTAGATCTGCAGGAGAGGGGTCGGTGAGAGGACTGATGAGCCCGGCAGGCTGTCTGATAGAAGCATGAAACCTTCCAACTCAGAATCAGTGCAACGCTACAAGTTCCTGTCTAAACCAGTCAACTTCCTGTTCAGGTCGTTTCCACAGAACTGACGGGTCAGAACCTCCTGAGCTTCAGGTCAGATGTTGAAGCAAAGATCATCTGCTCCAACTGCATTTCTGACTAGAACACAGAATTTATACAAAAATCAACGAGCAAGACAGGTTGAGAACACCTGTCCATGTTCTGTCCACACCTCCTCTGCTGTCAGTGAGAGACGACACCTGGACAGGTCTCCTGTCCATCACAGAGACAAACAAGACACTTAGGGACAGGTTTATGTTCTGTGGGAGGAACAGAACAGGAGAACAGGTAAACACCACACAGAACAACCAGGAGACAAACCTCCCACTGTCTTCGTGTGAGGCGACAGCACCAACCACTGGGCCAGAACCAGGTTCAGCAAACTGAAATAAAAACAGCAGAACCTCAGCGTTTTACCACATGGTTCTAGCTACTGGTGCAGAGTCCAAAGACACAAACACCAGAACACGTTTCGATTAAAGATCTAAAAACAGAACCAAGTTTCAACTTAACCAACAAGAAGAACCTCCATGTTCCCAGAACAAGCAAGTAATGCTCCCTGGTCAGAACATCACACCAAGAAACCCACGTTTCACTTCAAAACAGCTGGTTCTGTCCCAAAGCTCCCCCTGGGTGTTCAAGTACAGAACACCTGGAGAACAGTCCTACAAGAACCATCCTCAGAAACACCTGG